TCCCCCACATCTCTCATTTTTGGCTCAACAAGGGTCATGTTTAGCTCAAAACGACTATAGGTAGCTCAACAAGAATCATGCGTGGCTCAACAAGGATATTGGTTGGCTCAAAAAGGATATTGGTTGGCTCAAAAAGGATATTGGTCGGCTCAAATTGGTTATTGATTGCTCAACAAGGATATGGTTGGCTCAATAAGGATAATGATTGGCTTAACAAGAATCCTGGTTGGCTCAACAAGGAATATGTGTGGCTCAACAAAGATCATTGTTGGTTCAACAGGGATCATGGTTGGCTCAACAAGAATATTTTTTGCTCTACAAGAATATTGTTGGCTCGACAAGGATATTTGTTGACTAAACAACGATTTTGGTTGGCTCAACAAGGATTTTGGTTGGCTCAACAAGGATTTTGGTTGGCTCAACAAGGATAATGATTGGCTTAACACGGATCATAGTTGGCTCAACGAGGGTCATAGTTCGCTCAACAAGGATCATGGTTGGCTCAAGAAGGATCATGGGTGGCTCAGCAAGGATCATGGTTGGCTTAGCAAGGATATTTGTGGCTTAAGGATATTGGTTGGCTCAACAAGGATATTTGTTTGCTCAACTAATATATTGTTTGGCTCAAGAAGGATCATGGTTGGCTCAATAAGGGTATTGGTTGGTTTAAAAAGGATAATGGTTGGCTCAAGGACGATCATGGTTGGCTGTACAAGAATATTGGATGGCTTAACAAGGATATTCGTAATTACGTAATAAACGTCTCGTAATTTAAAAAAAATGTGACAAAGTAAAGAATTCGGGCGTTCTTCAACACACGCTGCATAACAGCAATTTTCGGGTAGTAAACTATACTGAAGTATCTGTTCGAACTGTGACATCAATTAAAAAAGAAGGATTTGAAGCCTGTGGGGCAGCCTTAAGTACTCCCGGTAAGGAAAGACCATATTGTGAAGATACAAAATTACACATTGATGACATCCACTTATTGCTTATTTGTTTTCCTTATTCTCGTATGATGTTTTAATTCTTGCCTACGGATACTTGGCGTAATATATTTGGGACAGATAGTAGTTGCAGATTAGGCGGTGGGCAGCTTTCAAGAACATTGAGCGCATTCCTCAGCCTCGCAATCGAGTCAGCTCCCAACAATAAGAATCAGGTGGCTCGGGGATGAACAGACGTAGTAGACACGTGGACATGGTGCAGGAAGTGTAAAGCGGAGAAAAGTACCGAGTAAGCGAGCCGATCAGTGAACTTGTTGTGAGCATTCTCCACGTTGTCTATTTGCGAACCACTGTCCCAGTGCCATATTGGAAATCCCGGGCCCCCTCCCCCACGGCCACTTTACGCGAGTCCAGGCTCGTTCCTGCCCTAGTCCCTGCTCCCTTTGCGGCAGGTGGCGATGAAAGACCAACCGCCCGATGCATTTGGAGCAACAACCTGCTCAATACTTTTCACAATCGACGGACTGAATCAAACCTTCAGAGAAAATTCAAGATTTTCTCTGTGAAATATAAAGAAGTTTCACAAAATCTTGGAAATACAAACATAGAAGTGAAGATTCGATGGATTATATAGTACGATATAAGCAATACTGTAGTGTACATACTTTGGTTTTTACTTGAAACGCGTGACTATTATTATTAATATTATTAATAATAATAATATGTACAACGGAGTCCTTATATTTCTTTCTTTTCAACCATTATATTTCTCTGCAAAGAAAGCAAATGACCAGACGAAAGTCAGAAAATTCTTCGGGGATTCCAGCCCAGACCAAGACAAGATAAAGAAAAGTTTGTTCAAGAAAAAGGCGAACAAGTGGAAGAACATAACAACAAATAGAGATGTTTAGAAATTTTCCAGGTCATCCGAAATATGACCACGGAGTGTAAACCAACAATGCCGAATGTTAAGAACG